CTGGAGAGAGAGAGAGAGAGAGAGAGAGAGAGAGAGAGAGAGAGAGAGAGAGAGAGAGAGAGAGAGAGAGAGAGAGAGAGAGAGAGGCCCCCCGTTCAAAAACACGATCAAGTGTCGTATCTCTACCGATCAGGTTGATATCTAATCCGTGGTCCATCGGCAATCTGGAGAGAGAGAGAGAGAGAGCTCAATCTAACTAAAAAATGCCCGCCCACCCACCCCAACATGATCTATCTGATCCGTGGTCAATCGGGACCCATTGAAAAAAAAAAGAAAAAAAATAACGAACACACGTTCACGCGCGCGAGACAGAGAGACCCCAGTCTAACTGACTACGCCTCCCCCCCAGGCCCCCCCTTTAACGCGATCAAATGTAGCATCTGTCCGATCAGTTTCATATCTGAAGACCTCAATCTAACTAAATATTCCCGCCCCCCCACCCCAACAGGATCAAGTGATCAGTTTCATATCTGAAGACCCCAATCTAACTAACTATGCCCGCCCCCCTACCCCAACATGATCAAGTGAAGTATCTGTCCCGATCAGTTTCATATCTGATCCGTGGTCCATCCGGACCCCTTCAAAAAAAAAAACAAAAAAAAACGAACGGACGTGCGAGCGCAGGACAGAGTGGGACCCCAGTCAAACTAACTACCCCCCGCCCCCCCAAACACGATGAAGTGTAGTATCTGTTCTGATCAGTTTCATATCTCATCCATGGTCCGTCGGGACCCCTTTTGAAAGAAGAGGGTGGGGGGAGGGAAATGCACGCACGCGCAAGATATATATACATATATCATCAAACAGAGCTGCCCGGTAAACCATAGGCAAAGAGGGAGAAGAGGACAACCAGAGGGGCTGTCACAAACTGTTCCATCAGAGTTTCTAGAGAGAGAGAGAGAGAGAGAGAGAGAGAGAGAGAGACCCCCTCCCCACCACGCGCCCCTCATTCTTCGTGCGCTCCCCTCCGCCCATCTCCCCATCCGCCTGCGCTCCCCTCCGGCCTCCTCTCCCCTCAGCCTGCACTCCTACATAGTTTCCTGCGCCAAGGAATCATTTCTAAAACATCTGTAGGACAAGCTCTGACACATTGTGTACAACCAATAGAAGTGTCATAAATTTTTATTCTGTGTGACATAAGAGACTCCAAATTTGTTTCTTTTTTTCTTGCCAATATTATTATTATTATTTTTTTTATTGGAAGATAGTAACTATTTACATGTATAACTTTGACTTGAAAGGAATAATCTAGGAAATAAAGTATACAAAATGGGAATTCAGCTACTAATTACATATGTAAGTAAAGTAAGAATTGAAAAAAGTTGCATCGCTGCTCTCCACCTTTCTCTCCCCTCCGCCCTTGCGCTTCCCCCCGGCATTCGCCTACCCCCACCCCAATATAACGAACTACAACCCCCCTCTGTTCCGATCGGTTTTCATATGTCATTGGAGAGAGAGAGAGAGAGAGAGAGAGAGAGACCCCCTCCCCACCACGCGCCCCTCATTCTCGCGCGCTCTCCTCCGCCCATCTCCCCATCCGCCTGCGCTCCCCTCCGGCCTCCTCTCCCCTCCGCCTGCACTCCTACATAGTTTCCTGCGCTGCTCTCCACCTTTCTCCCCCCTCCGCCCTCGCGCTTCCCCCCGGCATCCGCCTACCCCCACCCCAATATAACGAACTACGACCCCCCTCTGTTCCGATCGGTCTTCATATGTCATTGGAGTTGCCCGTGATCCATGGACCCTTTTTTTTTTTCAAAAAAAGAAAAAAACGCACGTAAACGTGCACGCGCGCGCGAGAGAGAGAGACCCC